CTCTCGTCCGCCTCCCCTCCTCGACCCCTCAAAGAGGTCTTCTTGTTAACGATTGTGTTTGGATGCAGCATACTGGTAAGGAGCATTGAGTGGGAAAGAATTAAGGCTAATTCACCTTGGTTGCTGGATGCAATAGTCTGTGTTCTTCTTGATCTATTTGTATCCTTCTCTCTTTTCATTTGACTTCACTAATTACTGCTTCATGATCTCTTATCCTTTCTTGAATGATTCAGATATTTCCTATTTGGTGCATGTAGTTCCTTGACCACATATTTTACCAGATCATCCTACAATTTGCCTACTACAAGTTCATGCACAAAAGGATGACAAGCAATGAGGATGAACATGAACACTTCATGGAAGCCAAGGAAACACTTGTCTGAAAACTTTGTGGTATATATGGCACTAATCCTTGTGCTTATATTTAATACGGCACTTGTTCTTGTTATTTCCTTTGTGAAGTTGAGTGATTTGTATCCTATATTTGTACCAATAGCTGCATGCCACGAGTTTTCCTCGTTAATTTTCTTCAGGATATTCACATACAAGCAAAGAAAGTCATCCCTGCGCGCCACTGCAGATTCATAATGTCCATATTCTTCCCACTCGCTATTGTATTGAGTTTATGAAATCATACAACTGCAGACTCTGCCATTGTGGGTGTGAATTTGATATGATGTGCATCATTTACTCCACGTAGGTTCGTCTGCACCGTCAAATGAGATGCATATTCGGATGATCCAGTGGAGTTTGCAGCCCAATTAGTAATTTTGATATAGTATCATAAGATTTTGGATTCGTATTTATGTACGAATTCTTCCTTGATTGCTTTGAAAAAAAAAAATTAACATTCAATTAATTTTAAACATAATAAAAAATTATACTTCACCGAAGATTTTATCTTGTGAATACAAATTTATCATAGTCTTTGCCATTGGAATAAATGTCTACACTTAAGTTCTTGTAAGAAATATAAATTAAGCTTTGTTAGTAAAAAAATTAGTGATATCTAAATCAGCTCGATATGATTTAGAATTTGAGTGTATAGGAGTGAGGGAGTATATATCGAATCTCTTGAGAATCGAGGTGGACTAACTTACGTTCTTCGGGATAATATATGCAAACATGCGAGATTGGATGAATTTTCTAATCCAATCCTTTTGATACTCAAATTAGTTCTGAGATAGATGGGTAAAAAAAATAAAAAAATATTTAACCTCGATTACTATATGAAATATAACTTTTTATAGCATCAAAAAATAAGAAATATTCTATAAAATATTTCTTAAAGAATAATCCTTAATCATTCCCGGTGGATCGATATCCACGTGAGCAAACCAAGGGATAGGTCTTGGCTCCTTTATGCTAATCGAACTATCACGTATACAATCATATGTTGAACTATCATTGGTCGAAAATATTTTCTCTATTAAGCTCTCATATAAAAGCGAATGAGATCATTTCTTGCTAGCTGCTATCATATAATACGGACAAAAGGCAATTCATGAGAAATGTAAGTCTTGGGTGCTCGATTTGGTGCCAATCTATATAAAAATAAAGGTTGAGTATGGTTCATGAGATCATCCTTATGAATCTCAAGTCAATAATAAAACAAAGTTAAATATATAGATAAACAATGATCAATCATGATTATCATGATTCGATCAACCTTTTATAATCGATCTAATTGGAAACAATTATAATCGATCTAATTGGAAAAAATATATAGACAGAATATATTTTGTTGGTTGGCCCAATTTTTTTATGCTGATTCGATTGTGATACATCCAATTATAATTGAGAATAAATATTTCTTCTATCATCATTTAATAATATTCAATTTTCTGATTAGGTGTGATGTATATGCTCGTTTTCTTCTTAGAAGGTTACTCTAATGGTAATATTTTTGGAATAAATTTAAATAAATGCTTGTCACTATTGAGAGAATCGACTCTCCAAATCAAACAACCTTATTCCACACGTCATTGGCGTCGCCAATGGAGAAAGAGCGTGATTTATTTGTCGGGAACAACGAAAGATGTGTTCAATGGTTTTCCTGTTTTGTTTTTCTGAACATAAAAACTGTGAATAGTATAAATTTTCGTACTTTGTTTTAACTATGTTTGGTAATATTATTTTGTTTCCATTTCTCCTGTCAATTTATAATTTTTATCATCATAAATAATTTGAAATAATATTAAGCCCAAAAAGCATTATAAATTTGTATCAAATTTTAATGTTAGAATTTTTATGTATGATTTATTATTTTACTCAACTTAAAATATTTAAAAAGTAATTCTTATGGGAAAAAAAGATTTCCTATGATAAATAATTGATCTTTTAGCTTCCCTAAAAATCTAAATATCCAAAATTTTAGGATCTTAAGACATATTCATCTTCAATCAACACGTGATTAATCGAATAAAATTATTACCTTTTGTTATCAATAGTTATATCCGTAGATTATTACTTCAGGTCATTAGTGGATAAATTTAGATAGATTATAAAAGATAACTTAGGGCATAGTTGTTGAGGTATGTTGGTGTAAACAACTTTAAGCCGTGGCCTCGGGGTCGGCGCGGCTTGGTTCGGGTCCGGATGATGGGGGATCTTCCTGGGACGACCCTTGAGATTGATGAGGGGACCGACTGCGGTGGTCTGATTAGGACGGGATCGTCGTTTCCTCCGGGAGGGGGGTCCTCGCTTGGGCGTTTAGTGGGAGGCCTCCGTCTTCGCACCTACACACAGGTCGGGTCGGGAGAGCTCGGCCCGACCCCTCCGACGATCAAGTTAGCGAATAGCCGCAGGGGGTTTTTCTCTTTCCCTCCTCCTTTTCCTCGGAGCACAAGGGTTTTTATAGTGAGGGTTACCGTTGTTTGATGTGCCTGCCCGCAGGGAGCAGGATCATACTTATGGTAGCGTCTGACATCGACGTTGGCGTGGCGTGAGAGATCGAGCCTGAGCAGGATGTTAATATGCCTCGGTCGGCGTTCCGGTTTGTGTTGACCAGGTGCTGTCAGGTCAACAGTGGCGCGAGGCATCATCTATGGCAGCTAACGTCACCCGAGTCTTATCGCCATTATTACCCTCATCAAAGTATAATATTTTCTTATTAATTATCTTTTAATTCATCTCAATACCTAAGTTAAGTATCGAAGAGATCATCAAGAATCCCACTCAATATAAATCTTAATTACAAGTAGAACATGATGTTAGATACCGAAAGTATATCGTGGATCGATAAACTCATAGCACAAATCAATCCTGAATTAAATTGAACTGATCCAGCATTCCAAATCGGCCATTGCTCTTTTCCCCGGTCACAAGAAATTTCAGCTGGTATAATAAAAGAAATTCAAACTAAAATGTTACGCTGTATCGTATTATAATTCTATGACAGCTACAATCCGTGCATCACGCGGACACCAAAGCCAGTTTTACACATGCAACTTTACACTTATTTGGACCATACAAGATATGAGATCATAGATAATTTGGAGTGTGGCTCCACCGCAATAAATAGCATTTCATGCCAATGAATGGTTGTCGTGTAATCATTTGAATGTAGCACAATTATTTATTTATTTTTTTACGATTCTAATATAATACTTTATTAATTTATGTTTATATTTTGATGGAACGGCGATAATAGTCGCTTCCATGACATCTTTTCTCATTTGCATGATTAGACAGAGATTGGCTCCCCTTCGTCGACCGCTTGGTGATGCGGCCGGAGAACAGGACTTCTGCTGTCGCTCTGAGTGTTCGGAGAAATGCCTCTTGTCATCTCCAAGCAGGGGAACTACTCAGCATCAAGAATGAACGTATACTTCGATGGAATTGGATACAGTGAGCGTATACTCATCTAGGAGCCGACTGCGCCCCAAGTGCCGGACACTTGCATGATCGGAACAGGAATCGAGACTGCGGAGGTTTTGCTCTTCGGGGAAGGAGGATTTGATGAGCTTCCTGAGATCATACATGGCGATGGCGACACGTTGGCAGTCGAGTCTGAGTTGGCTAATTTGCCAGAACAGTATCTCAAGGTTATCAAGTTGCCAAACCTCTCTCATGATGGAATTCTCAAGCATGATTAGCCATTGAGGGAGATAACTAGAGAAGTTCTGGACATAAATTATAGTGCATTGAGCTTCATTTATCACAAAGAATTTCTAATATCAATCGTCATCCTTTAACCGTCAACCACTAAGGAACTGATGTGAAAGACAATAAGATATCTACCTGATGTAGAAGATGATCGATAACCGATACCCCATTAGTTGTCATCTGCTCAATTGATGCTGCATTACGGAAGATTGTATAAAATCGACCCGTGCCTCGAGAGATCGTGTCAGTCAACCCATACCTCAAGGGTCATACTGAATAGTTATTCATGTGAGTGCATCACAAAAGGAGAGTAATTTCTATCGGTTCAACTTATCAAATATAAAAATCGATCATCGATGCTTAAACAAAGATCATATTTTGAACCTCACAAAGGTTATAGTCCTCACTCGAAACAAATCCAAGCGTCGGATGGGTCGAGTCGGGAACCTCCAATTGATATTGACCTATTGTGCGGAGTGCCAAAGAGATTTAGCTTATAAGTTCCATTTCGAGACAATAATCTCAGAAGTTTAGAAATCATCTCGAAGCAATCCTTATCGATCTTATTCAACTCCCATCTCTCGTCTCGCTCTTGGGAGAACTTACCAAAATGACCCTACGGATTGGAACGAGCCATATCTCTCGTGAATATCAAGTTGTTAGTCATTTGGTAGGCCATTTCAACTTTGCGAGGATCATATATTTGCTGAACGAGATCCTCCAGTCTTTTGATCCATATAATTACTGCCACGTCAGAAATCTGACATATGCATGCGGGTGGATGTGCTGTCACATCTTGCGTGGTAAAAAGGTCAAATGTTCGTTTTAGGTGCGTAGATTCCCATCAATGCGACTGGTTTACAAACGAAAACAACAGAATTCTATGGGCCAAAAGCTTCCAAGTAGCAAACAACCGTTACCACACGTTCTCATCCTTCTCAACCATATGGGAGTCTAAGCAACACAGTGGTCGAGAGATGGAAAATGGAAATGAATGTCATTCTGATCCTTCCCCTTCTTGTCTTTCCCATGGCTTTGTTGCCGGCCGTGTGCCTTTCTGCGGGGGGCAGCAACGATCTCCACCCTCTGGTCCTCATACCGGGGAGTGGCGGCAACCAACTGGAGGCCCGGCTGACGAAGGACTACAAGCCGTCGAGCCTCCTCTGCGCCCTTTCCGCGACGAGGAAGGGGAAGGACGGGTGGTTCAGGCTGTGGTTCGACCCGACGGTGCTGGTGCCCGCCCTCACCCGCTGCTTCGCCGAGCGGATGACTCTGTACTACCACGCCGCCCTCGACGACTACCGCAACGCCCCCGGCGTGCTGACCCGGGTCCCCTGCTTCGGCTCCACTCAGGGGCTCCTCTACCTCGACCCTCACCTCAAGTAGGTTCTCGCTGCGCCTCGGCCTCTCTCTTGGATCTTCCTGTTCCTCGGCTTCACTAGGGTCTTTTCGCAGGCATATCACCGAATACATGGCAACTCTCGTGAACTCCTTGGAGCAGCTTGGCTATGTAGACGGCGAAAACCTCTTCGGCGCGCCGTACGACTTCCGCTACGGTCTGGCTGCAGAAGGCCACCCCTCCAAAGTTGGAACCCAGTATCTGGAAGATCTCAAAGAATTAATCGAATCTGCGAGTGCTTCCAATGGCGGCAAGCCCGTGATCCTCCTCTCCCACAGCCTCGGCGGCCTCTTCGCGCTTCAGCTCCTCGTCCGCAGCACTTCCTCATGGCGGCAAAAGTACGTCAAGCACCTGCTCACCCTCTCGGCGCCATGGGCCGGCACGGTGCAAGAGATGCTCACCTTTGCGTCGGGGTACACCCTCGGCATCCCCATCGTGGACCCTCTGCTGGTCCGGGCCGAGCAACGGAGCTCCGAGAGCAACCAGTGGCTCCTGCCGTCGCCCAAGGTGTTCGGCCACGTGCCGCTCGTCGTGTCCGGGAACAAGAGCTACTCCGCATGGGACATGCAGGGGTTCATGGAGGACATCGGGTTCGAGGAAGGGGTCTACCCGTACAAGACGCGGGTGTTGCCGATGACGGACAAGTTCGAGGAGCCGGGCGTGCCGGTGACGTGCGTGGTGGGCAGCGGGGTCGAGACGCCGGAGACGTTGTTCTACGGGGAGGACGGGTTCGACGTGCAGCCGGAGGTGGTTTACGGCGACGGAGATGGCACGGTCAATTTGGTGAGCTTATTGGCGCTGGAGTCCGAGTGGGCGGGGTCGGCGAGCCAGGATCTGAAGGTGATCAGGCTGCCTGGTGTCTCCCATACCTCGATTTTGAAGGATAAGAGCGCTTTGAAGGAGATTGTAGCAGAGATTTGCAGCATAAACGCCATTACCGCGAGCTCTCTAGTCTTTCGAGCGTGACAATACGATCGATTAAAATGTTATGCAGTCTAAATTAAGTGTATGAATTTGATAATTTAATGCATAATGCGTGACACATTCCCTTCGACCTCAACAAATTGAGACAAAACCTGCCTTAATTTATACTTTTCGGGGACTCGAGAAAGAAGCGAGCCCGACCGCGACGGCAGGACTGCACGTGCAGTGCGCTTGCCGACGCCCTGCGCTCGTTCATTGGCGATACCGCACGCAAATGTGCTTTTGCATAGAAGAGCTGTAAGGGAGCATCGAAATCGTCCATCGGAGACACTCTTCCAATCCTAACTGTCCGCCTGTTTTGAAGGAGGCACAGATGGACGGTTTCGGAGGGGATCCTTTTGTAACTTTAGATGATGCAGGGTTCCCTGCACAGGATTTGGCTTCGGCTACGCCCCCCATTGGCCCACACTGGTTTTCTTATGCCATCTCTCTTTGATAAGAAGGGAGAAACATGCGCAGAGAGCACAGAGTGATGGGAGGTCCCCCTCAATCCTTTTGTTTTTTGTTAGTTTAATAGAGGTAGCAGCATAATGCGTCTTTTATGATGTCTGCGGCCGTCATCTCTCACTCGTTCTGGTCCAAGGAGGCTGAGGGTTCTCAGTCACTGAGCTTCTTAGCCCTCTCTCTTAGATTCCCTCTCAAGTTATTCCGTGAGATCTCAACTTGTTTACCATGCTCTGCCATCGAAAATAAGATTTAAAGAAAAGAATTTTGTTTGCTTTGTTCTGTTTCTTGGTTTCCTTGGATGTTTCCGTTGTCGCTTTTACTGTGACGAGTTCCTTTACCTTCCTACTGGTCTCGGCCTTGCTCGATTATGATTTCGCCTTTTCCTAACCTCTGGTGAAGCCTAGTTGGGAGCTCTAACCAGGCCTGGATGAGCCTTGGGTTTCCTGAGAAGCAGCGCGGATTATAGCCCCATGATGCTCCCTGCCGTGATGATGCTTGCTTGCTTTTGATCGGAGCCACCGAAGCCTCCATCAGCAACCAGCGCACAACTCCAAAAGGAGGGCAGTTGGGTGATCCCAACTTTCTCTCTATCCACTCATTTCGCCTCCACTTCTAGTTCTCGTCTTCCTCCCCTGCTCCACCCTCTGTTTTACTACTAAAGATCAAGTCTTGGGGTTCCTGGCGATGCCGCAGTTCCAGCAACCGGCTTGCTGGAGGCTGGAAGCCGGCGGGCAAGTCATGGACGTCGACACGGCCGTGAAAGATGGCATCTTGGGCGGCGGCGCGGTCATTAGCGGCCTCCTGGACGGCAAAGATGGGACCTTGGGCACCGCCAAGAAGCACGACCTCAAGGAGATGATCGAGGAGATGGACTCGGCGGCGGAGGCGAACGACGTGCCGATCGTGTTCATCTGCCCCATCTCACTGGAGCCGATGGTGGATCCCGTCACCCTGTGCACCGGCCAGACCTACGAGCGCGTCAACATCCTCAGGTGGTTCTCCACGGGCCGCCTCACCTGTCCCACCACCATGCAGGATCTCTGGGACGACACCGTCACCCCCAACCGCACTCTCCACCAACTGATCCACGCCTGGTTCTCGCAGCGCTACCTGCGTCTGATGAAGCGATCCAAGGACGTGGAGGGCCGCGCCAGAGAGCTCGTCCAATGCCTCGAGAAGGTCAAGGGGGAGGCGCGAGTACAGACTCTGAAAGAACTGCATAAGATCGTTGCCGCCCACCCCTCCATCGAAAAGCCTGTGATCGATTCCGGCGTCCTCGGCATTTTATCTTCTCTTCTAGGCCCTTTCACCTCCCATGCCGTCGGCTCCGAGGTGATCGCCGTTCTTGTCAATCTCAACCTTGATTCAGAAGCAATGACTGACTTGATGCAACCTGCGAAGATCTCACTCGTCGTAGACATGCTGAACGAGGGAACAACCAAGACGAAGATACAATGCGCGAGGTTCATCGAAGTGTTGATGGGTGCGGAGAGTTTCCGATTCGAGATCGTCTCAAGTCTGAGCCTTTTAGTGGGGCTGGTAAGGATGGTGAAGGATAAACGAGAACCCGACGGGGTTTCAGCAGGTCTTAGCTTGCTAAAGACCATTTGCTCCCACGACCAAGTCCGCAGCTCGATCGTGAGCATCAGAGCAGTCGCGCAGCTTGTCGAGCGACTGCCGGACCTGAGCCCAAACAGCTTGGAATCGGCATTACAAATCTTGGATGATCTCGCAGCCATCCCTGATGGTCGATCAGCATTGAAGGATTGCCCCCAAACCATTCCCAACACAGTGAGGCCTCTGATGAAGGTGTCCGAGGCTTGTACTCGACATGCGTTGTCGATACTATGGGCGGTGTGTAAGCTTGCTCCCGAGGAATTTGTTTATCTTGCAGTAGAGGCTGGCCTGGCAACAAGGCTGTTGCTTGTGATACAGAGCGATTGCCCTCCGGAGCTAAAGAAACAAGCATCCGATTTGCTGAAGCTCTGTAGTCTCAATTACACTGCCACCCTTTTCATTTCCAAGTGCAAGCTAACGAGGACGATGCAGTGACGTGAGGATCTGCTGCTGCACTACTCCATTAGCGGACTGGCCTTAATATTATGCACTTGGATTGAGATAAGATGGTAATGGCCTTACAATATGCATTCATCCTCCATATATGAAGAATAATCCGTTTTTGATGTAATTATTTATGGATGAGAAAAGAAATCTATAAGAGTAACTTTGTTTCTGTGTTGGTACCTGTTCATGTTACAGGCACAGGTTCACTGGTTGATCAATGACAATCTATCTTGGTTGTCAGATTTCTAAGCTCTTTTATATCTTTTGAATAAAGACCAATTCCCGGTAGAGACAATGGTTGAGGTGAGCAACCCGAGAAGAGGCATCTGGAACGAAGGAAAGCTTGTAAGTTCCAGGGTTTACTTTATTGAGCCGAGGAAAGGGAAGAGGTTTACTGCTGCTGGAGTTGCTTCCTTCCTTGTGGGGTGGGGGAGTGGTGATGACCATTGACCAGGGCAGTGATCAAGACGCCACTTTGCTGCCAAAGGTCATTTCTTCGATGCTCCCCATGTTCACCTTCATTTAGCAGCGTCATGATTCCACATGAATCGGCCACATTTTACTCTCCTTACGCTATGCACATTGTCTTCCGTATGCTTTCATGTTCTGAAACGCATCATCCCCTTTCTTGGGACGGATTAATTATTGCTCTTCGGTGTGTTTCTCATTGAGCTGTGATGATTGGAATTCGCTTCTGTCTCCGAACGAGTTACTCGTGCCGCAGAGTCGTGATCAGTGACTTGGATAAAAGGAAATTTATAGACATCAGATAAAATCCCAATGCTAACCTTAATATTTATAAAAGAATCAAACCCAATATTTATTTATATAAACAAACCTTAATTCTACATTTAAGGTTGCATCGTGTTCACATTTAGGGAAACATCTATACAAGGTTGCATCGTGTTCGATTGGCCGATTGCGAGAAACCCAACGGATGGTGAAGCTGTTCCTTCCACATACCAAGGATACACTAATCCCACAGACACACCATCCTACATCTTATAACTCTTGAACAGATCCTTAACTGGTGCACCATAAAGAACGGCTTAAAGCTAATATGATCTTTTATTGGTGGATTTGTTGGGCCCAGATGGACTTCAAGCCCGTGAAACTTGAATCAGGCCCAAGAAACGTCCAATTAAACTCGCTAATAGCCGAAGGTTAAGTAAGGTGGTGGAGAAAGGTCGGCCATGCTGTCCTTGCGAGGGATATAGATGTCAAATTGTAACCTAAGAGAAAGAGATGGGAAGAGGAGGCAGCTGAAGTTGAAATTTATACGCTGAAGCAGCGGCTGCGAATAGCGATTGGTTTCCAACAAAATCCAAGATTACGCCCTCGTTTCGTTTCTGGTGGTCGAACCGATGCTGCTCTTGAGCCAAGCGCCCAACGGAGCTCTCTCCGCCAGGAGATGCCCCTCTTCCTCCTCCTCCGCCGTCTCCTCCTCCCTCAGCCCCTTCTCCAAGACCGACCCCTCTCTCTTCTCCAAATCCCGCCCCCGCTTCCCCTCCCGGAACCCTAGGAGGCCGCGCCCACTGTCCCTCTCCGCGCCCGCCGTCGACCCGGGCCGCTCCGCCCGCCCCCTCTCCTCCCCGCCAGCTGCCGTTCAGGAGGACGAGATCGTCTCCGTCGGCGACGACGGCGTTCCCCTCGAAGGCGTCATCCAGTTCGAGAAGCCTGGGGGTTCTTCGAAGCTCCTTACTTGGGCGTAAGTTTCTCCAATTGCGATCGCATTCGGACCCCCTTGATTGGGTGAGATGGTGGATTGATGCGTTTGTTGTGGGTTTCAGGCAGGTAGGTCTTCTCGCGGGCGGAGACGTCTTGTGCCTTCTCATTTTCTCGGCGGTAGGCAGGTTCAGCCACGGGTTGCCTGTTTTTGATTTCGAGACACTGCGGACGGCTGACCCTTTTATTGCTGGTTAGCAAGTCGCCATCCTTGTTTGTTTTCGCGATGCGTTTGGGTGCCTTTTGCGAGGGTCTCTCAATTATGCTTTGGCAGGGTGGGTTTTGAGCGCCTACTTTCTTGGAGGTTACGGGGATGACGGTAGAGGAGTGAATGGTTCCATGAAAGCTGTTCTCGCAGCTGTCAAGTCTTGGGCGATTGGCATTCCGGTGAGTACTAATCTTAAATCTTCATGTGGATTAGATTCTACCTTTGGACGATTGCTAATTATTACCAAAAAACGTGACAATGGTAATTCAGCTTTGAATTAGTTAATCCTCTCAGAATTTGGAACATCAATCATGAGATTCACTTGTAGGCCCAAGACCAATTGTTAATAATTGAAATCTTTTCATACAAGATGCATCTGTTTCTTCATGTTCTTTCGTCATTGTTTTTGGTATCTTTTCTCCAATAAGATGCATCTCTAATCGACCCTTCATAAATGTTGAATACCATTTATATGGGCTTACTGATATGTTATAATTGGCAGTTAGGACTGGTAATCAGGTCTGCAACATCAGGTCATGTTCCGCCAACTCCGTTCATGTTGATAACTATGGGAAGTACTGGGATCTTGTTGATAGCATGGAGGGCTTTGGTTTGCAATCTTCTTCCGAGTAACAGAAACAAGCAGAACGATGTCTATAAACGTGGAAGCGCATTCGAACTTTTTGAGGTACTGAATATATTTTTATCATTAAGGTTTTGTTTCATAAGCTGCTTAAGAAACAAACTATAATTTACAATACCTTAGGTTCAGTTTTTGGTTATTGCTCTTTTGGATAAAAAGGACGTACTCAGTGCACGAGGCTCCCGCTAATGCGGGGTTTGGAGAAGGTCAATGTACATGTATTGGTTACTGCTCTTGTGTGCAATTAATTTTTGTTGGTATGTGTATGTCAACACCCAAGCCAGTTCTGGCCATAAAAGATGAATGCTAATAAAAATATTTTGAAAGTTTCTGCATGATTCCTCAGATATAATATGGTTCTAAAGGTTAATGGATTAGAATGTTGGCATTGTTTTTGTCTAGGATGATTAATAGACTGGACTGTGAACATTAATTCATGTGTATTATTATACTCAGAATAGGTCTGCAAACGATGTAATAATATGTAGCAACATAGTTAAGATAGGTTCTTAACTGATATTCTTGACAAAGTGGTTATTCATTGAGTTTCGATATGTTTAGCAGAAGTAGTCTATTTAGTATATGATTTTTTTTTTGATAAAACGGGTTATAAGGTGAGTTGAGATGATTAATATCATAGGCATTCAACACTGTAGGAATATGCAAGAGTCCTTTTACACATTAACATTTGTATCAATTCATTGAGGTGTCTCTGCCCAACGCTATGAATTTGGCTGTAGAGCTAAGGATTCATTCAATTGTTTCTGTACTTCTATTTTTCTGAAAATTTGTCATTCTATCAGTAGCAATGTTAAATCTTTTTTCATGCACTTTTGATGTGATGGATCCGTCCTCATTGGCTATATACATATGAGAACATGTTACTCGTGCTAGTTCTACCTCTTTTTTTTTCGGTAAATGTCATTCTCTGAACATAGTGAAAATGACATATACTTTGTCGTCATCTTGTACCATGTTACTCGAAGTTCTACTGTGCTCTTTGAGCTTCCTCTCCATTGTATGTCTATCAGTTGTTTGCAAAATTTAGCTTCATAAACGTTTGGTATTTAGAATATCTTATAATTGGACTAATTGTATTGTCCAAATGATGAAAGAAAAATATACTGTTTATTAATTTTTTTTTGCTTTTCATGCTAAATTATGTTGCATTAGCTTGAAACTCCTATGCATTTTTCTAGTGTTGTTGTCCTTTCATGAATTCTGTGATACTTATATGATCATATGTGAACATTGCCGTTGGTGTCCTGTGGGTTATTTTCAGGCAAATCTTGATCTCAGCTACTATATGCTGACAATGTTCGATATGTATGTCTATATATTTGACTTAAAGTTTCTTATTCTAGCATTTTAGCATCGCTAACAATAAGCATGTCATGTGACATATGTGGAACCTGGGCATTTGGCATTTACCTTCTACGTTGTCTGTTCACTTGAAAGTAGAATAGCTATTCTTGGAGTAGATATAGCAAAGAGTAAACTGTGGGAGGCTTGCTACTCTTTGTGACAACTCATCACTACTGGGGATTTCATATTCCCCTTTTGTCTGCTGTTCTCTCTGAATTACTTATTGGTTAAGCACCAAAGAGCACTTGGGTGAGATAGTAAACAAAGCCCTTCAACGATTCTTCAGTGAGCTACCATATATTCATCGGCGAGATGTCCTTTCTTTTTTTTTTTGTAAAGCAAATCACCCTTTCATACACTCTATTGCTCAATATGTTCACCCTTGTTTTTTTTTATCAAATACACATTTACTCTTTATATGCATAGTGTATATCTTCTCATATAATTGTAAGGTTGTTTTTTGCAACTTGGGAGACCCCGATTCGAGTCACAGAAATAACCTCTCTATATTTAGAGGTATGGCCACAAACATTGACCTTTCTAAATTTCGGATTAGCGAGAGTTTCATGCACTAAATATACTATGCACAAATATTCATAGAGATGCATGTGTTTATATAATGTGATAGTCCAAAGACTTGTGGAGACAGGTGCAGGTGCTTAGGTGGCCACGTGCAAGAACAAAAAGTAATTTTATTCAACTTATTATATGCTTTGGCTTGAAATGTTATAAATAAATATGTATGTGCTGTGTCACATGTAGCTTTCTAATGAAGATGAATGATGGTCTTGTTCAACTTTTAGTCTATCCTTAAATTCTTATTTTGTTGGTGTGACATGTAAATTCTTTTTTTTGCAGTTACTGACATCATTGGTTCGTAGATGGTGATCTGAGCGTGAACTCAAGAATGATGGTCTTCTTCTACTACTACTTGTCTTAATGTCAATTGTGTTAACATGTATATCATGTGGCAGTAATGTGTACCAAACGCAAGGTAACAATTAATGTAATACCTGGCTTTTTCTGGTGGCATTTTGACAGCGTGCAATATGATTTTAGTCCACATTTTGAGAGTCTGCAAATTAGCTCATGTATGTTTGTAGCGGTCGTTTTATTGTATATATTTGTATTTTTTAGAAGCTTCTTGTGCTATAATATGTATTTGAATCCAATAATTTATTTTTTCTGTGGTATATGATGGGAAAATCTAGGGAATTTTTTTTTGTTTGTATGAATGAACGAGAAGGGGCCAATTGCCCCAATAAAAGTCTTTTTTGGGCTTTTTCTAGGAAGTCCCTATTTTCAGAATTCCTAACAGCACCCTTTATTTGCTAATCAGTTATTCTTTTTCTTATACTCTTCATATGGATTGGTCCATGAATTGATCTAGTTATAATGTATTTATATTATATTATAATTTTGTAATAAGATTAAAAAATATTGTATCCAAAATATTGTAATATAATAATTTTTATCATGTTATAATATTTTTTGGTATTACTAAAAACAATAACATTCTTATACTACATTAAAATGTTTTCTAAGTGTTACCGAAAATATCATAACATAGTGTACAAATATTTTAAAGCAGTATAAAAACATTATAATATAATATTTTTAATATTATTTTCTTGGTAGTACTGAAAACATTTTGACAGATTCATCTTGAGAAGGAAAGAAAGGGTCTCAAATTAAGGATATTTAGGACGCTAGAGGTAATTTATCATAAAATGCCTTTCAACCAAGCTATTTTGAGTCAAGATTTATATAAGCCAATGCGGTTTGACATGGGTGACTCGGATCGAATCACTTTGAATCAAGTTAAGTTCTATTGTAACGGGTCTAACTTTGTGAAATCTATTGGGTATAACATAAGTGTAACACAAGTATAACTAGAGTGTAATCAATATATTTTTATTAAACTAATTTAAACCTTTTTAGAACTACTAGTATATTATTGTAAGCTATTTAGTATTTTTTTAATTTTAGGGTGAATAAATTTTCATATATGATATTTTTGGGTTGAATCAATTGAATGTAATCTATTAAACTTTTATTAAATCTATCCGATCTTCGTTAGAACTACTAGAGTGACACCATAATATGTTTAGTTTCAATTTTTCTATTTTTGTAAATTTAGAACGATTAATTTATTATCTTTTTTTATTATGAATTTAAGATAATTAATTTTTTTAATAGAATATTTTTGTGTTGAATCTATATCAAGCGTAACTCTTTGAATTTTCAACAAACATATCATTTTTTTTTAACTACGGTGAGATACTAATATATTTATTATTATTTTTATTTTATATAAATTTAGAATGATTAATTTTTGAAATAGGATATTTTTGTGTTCTTCCGAGTGTAACTCGAATTTTCACCGAACTTATCAAGCTTTTTTGAGACTACTAGAATAAGATTTTAATATATTTATTATCATGTTTTCTTGTATGAATTTAAGATGCTTAATTTTTAAAACTAAGATATTTTTGTATTGAATGCTTGATTAAGTATAACTCTATTGTAACTCTTTAAATTTTAAATTTTCATCAAACCTATCTAAACTTCTCTGGAACAATAGAGTTAGATGTTAATATATTTATTATTTTTTATATTTATATAAATTTAGGATGATTAATTTTTAAAATAAAAATATTTTTGTATTATTGAAGTTGTGATCGAGCATAACTAAGATGTAATTCAAGTTAATTTTCATTAAACTAATCCAATCCTCTACAAAACTAGTAGCACTTAATTCTAAGATATTTTGTATTTTTTATTTTATAAAAAATATTTTGATCTGAAAAAAATATCTTCGTTAAAAACCAAATATGAGGGCTCCATTTGGTAAAACCTCATTATTAGGATTTTGTATAATTTATCAAACAAAAAAGAAACTATTATAAAATTTTATAAATGTGAATTTTCTGAGAGAAGAAAACAAAAAGTTTTGTTGAAAATTCGCCCAATCAAAATATCTCCATTAGATTAGAACCATGAGAATGATAGATAATGATAGATATGGCTGTAAGTAGTGGATAGTTTACGATCATCAGCGAACAACAATGTCATCCCTCCTACATCGGGCCATATGTTGTGTCTGCACTTTGGTACTTCCACCTTTGCAGTTAATGCTTGACCATCATAAAAAGTTGACACACTTAATCAAAGTAAATAATTCGTACTCATTGGAAGAGACTTGAGTTCTTGGCCCTATCACAACTCTACCCTTGCTTTCTTCTGAAGGCAGCACTTACAACGAGGCACATACTGGAGGAGTTAGGGAGCTCTTTTTGTTTCGTGCAGAGATTGGCACTAAATACTTGGAGGTGATCGAAGCTTTCTTTTGAGGTGGCTCCCATTAACTTCTCTACCTCTGAGGCCTCCTTTAGCAGCTGGGCTCAGTTTCTTTAGAGATGGCAGAGCCTCTCCCTCCCTTTACCCTCTCCACTTTCTTCTTCTTCTACTACTACTACGACGACGACGACGACTACTACTACTGCGACCACTTCTTCTTCTTCTCCTTCCAGAGTCAATGGCTGCTGTAGGTAGAGTTATCATCTTAGCGATCATTCTGGTATCTGTCATCTCCATGCATACGACTTCTGCTCGAGAGAGTGCGCTGTTGCCGTCTACCCAGCAGCAGCCAGTGCTCGTCTCTCCTCCTCTCAATGGTACAATGGAGGAGAAGAGGATGGTCCCGACTGGTTCAAACCGCCTCCACAACAGGTAGTAGACATGCATGTGGGGGCTGGCTGCCTACAGGTGAATGAATGCTTGTTAGATGGTGCAATATAGGAAGACATCATCTTGGCTTTCTTTATATCTTCTCTCATAACAAAAAAAATAAGCAGATCAAGATTGTGTTTCTTGTCAGACGCTTGCTGTTCTCGGAGCTATTCTATTTGATTGGATATTATGTGGCTGCTTAGTGGTCACACATACACAACATTGTGTCGTTGCTCTATTTATGGAGATATTTTAGATACCACCATATGTTAATGTGGAATGAAGCTTCGAGCAGGACTTCTTTGGTGCTCATATCCTTCCTTTGAGCAAATATTATGTCATTTCCTTCGATGCTTAGTTTGTTTAGAGTCATCGAGGTATAATAATATTGTAACATCATTCCTTGAACTAACAATGAGACTTGACATGATATTATTATATGGAATGATGGAAGGCACAGAGTGCATGCGCTGATGAATTTAAGTTGTTTTGGCTACTGGGACTCGAGTGTTGATGTTTTGTGTCTCGTGTGGGGGGCGCATGAGAACTCATTATGAAGCGGGAAGGACGCAGCTTTTGCCTCGTCCATGCTTTTATTTGGATGCCTTTGTAAGCATCGATGGTTTCACGAGAGCACACAAGTGTGAATGATTACAGTCGCAAATGGCCGGAAATTGACGAAGCATTCATATCCAATAGGGGAAGGAAGAACGTATCTCAAGCATTTGTTCACTGGTTTCTTGCAGACCAACTAACCTTTGACTACACTGATATTTGCATTCTTATTGTTGCATCAGTAATCAGAGAGCACAAAGTTTGGACAGATTGGCCATCTAATACGTACAAAGATTATAAAGCAACAGACAGCCATCTTGATAAGGAAATATATTTAGTATTAAATCATTATATTGGTTCGAGATATGTTTAGTTGCTTACCTAAACCATACACAGTCCATGGAAGCCCAATAACCACAAACGCTGCTCGGCCAACTCTCCATCAAGTTCGCTGCACTAAATGCAGGATGTTGATAGATCTCAAGACATGCCATGGATGATTACAGATAACTATCTCCTGGTACAATGATTTCACAGCTAACGAAAGGTAATAGATTTGCATGGTTTAGCTGTTCGTTGCCTGTAAATATGACACGACAGACAACCATGGCATGACTTTTAGTTGGCCAGATCTAAAACATACCTGATTGTCTTCGGTAAGATGATCTATGCAAAAAACATAGATACATTTGGAATGGCACAAGAAACACACAAGTTGGATGAGCAAATGAGAAAAGTATTGGCTCCCATACCTTACTGAAGCAAACCATGAAAGATCACATGGATGTTGCTTGCACTGGAATTAAAACTCACTTTTACCTACAATCACTCTGCGGCTTCCTCTTTACCACTCTCTTCTACTTTGCTCTGGATTTCCTTCAAACTGGAGAGACCATCTCGCTTGTCTTTTTTTTCCCCTGCGGCCGTGCTATGCAAGTAATCCTTGGATTGTTGGAGCAGGACCTTCTTGTGATCATCTTTGATTGCAGTTGTTTCAGAGCTCTCTTCTGATTCTTCTGGTCTGGCAGTTTTATTTGACTTCTGTATCATTATTGTGTTCTCTGTCTTGTCCTCTTTCCATGGAGTTTGCAAATTAGCAGTAGAATTTATACCTTGAAGTGGATGTAAGCTGGTTTGATTTACATTCGATGTTGTCTGGTTTTCTTGAGCTTCTGTCCAATCTTCAGATACTGCAGTATGATTCTCATGGGCTTTGATTTGATTCTTTGGCAAATCTATTGATCTGACCCCCAATTCTATTTGGCTGACAGACTCATTTGCTGCATATGTCTGTGGTTTTGTTTCATTGTCAATGTGATCTACAATTCCTAGATCAGTTTGCTCTTCCATGTTTTCATCAGCTTCACCAGTGGTACTCGAAGAATTCCACTTGTCTAGCTTCGTCTGTTCTGTTTTCTGGAGAACATCTGCAGTTGTAGCATCCTCAATGTTAGGGAGAGTAGAATTGTCCTCATGAATGACACTCGAATTAGTTCCTTTAAATGAATCTAACAGTTCAGCTTCAGATTCGGGTTCCTGAACTTGAACGACATGATGATCAACAGCACTAGAAGCATCATCAGCTCTGAAGCTTCTTTCTCGTGCCTGCTGAGTTAGTTCTTCGTGTTTTATGTCTTGGCTACTATAATGGACCACTTCACTGGACGCGTCATCACCTTTGAAGCTTTTCTCTCGGGCCTCACGAGACCGCTCATCGTGTTCTCGATCGTCAAAGGCGCCCACTTCGCGAGTAGTGTTTTCAGCTCTCACCTTATCTCGCCCATCCGTCCTGTGGTTCTCGGCACCTTCTTCATGCTCGGTATCTTGTTCTGTGACTTCAGCATCTTCTTTCACTTTGGCATCGACCACAGAATCTGCGTTGCCTGTGCTAGGGAGGAGGTCCTTCCTGCCAAACCTCGTGATATCGGACTGCCCTTCATCGAAGCTTTCCGCATAGGCCTTCCTCCGAGCATGAGAGTGATTCATCTGGTATAGCAGCCAGACACAAACAGCAACAAAAATGCAAATCTGGAGAGCATTCTTTGCCCTGAACTCCCCTTTCCGTCTATGGTTCCTACTGGATACCTGCCTCAGCATGGTGGTTCTCCTAAATAACCAAACACAGTCTTCTCCCCAAGTCGTAATAGTTTTCCCCTTGTCCTATATAGCAAGTCTATTCCTCTAGCACAACAAAGCCACCTAAAACCAGTGCCTGTCCACAGGAAGAGGCAAATAATCTCATGAAGCAATCCCTACCAGCTGATTTCACTGCACAGTAGTAGGGTGTAGATGGTGAGATGATGCTAATCACAAACATAACATGTTCCTTTCTTTCCAAGAACACAAACATAACATGTTCACAGCACAGAGAGAGGATAAAACTAAACAGTTGGATAATTTCTGATGCAAAAGGAGCCTGCTTAGACTAGAAGCTGATGATCGCACACAAAAAAGAAAAAGGGAAAAAATGGCATACAACTGTAGTCGAAGAGAAAGAGAAAATAAAACCCGAATCCTATTATTCATCCACCAAAGCACAGAAGAACCAGAAACAGAGCCTGGGTAAAGACTAACGCACATCAAAAACTGAGGAAAGCATCACAAGGGAGCAAGGAGCACAACATACCTGAAGGAGTTCTTTCTTTTTGCCCACGGCCCGCTGATGGAGGGGGACGAAGACGACAACGCAGACGAGAGAGAGAGAGAGAGATGATTTTACCGAGGCCTCCCGTGGTCAAAGGTTGGAAGATGCGTTCCTAGAAGCAACCATAGCTGCAGGAACAGTCTCCACCTAATTCCTTGGTCAGAGCTGTGGGTGCAGCTGGAATCAGGTTCAACAAGCTCAACAGTGGACCCGATCTTCTCTGAGGTGCCGTGATCGAAAGAGATCACGGCCGGTGATTGCTTCTTCAAATCGAACTCAATCCATCTGTTCTTTCGATTAGAAGCACCCCGGCGTCGTCCTCCCACAATTACATCGACGCAACAAGCGATTGGAGAGGACTTTTCCTAATTTCGTTGTCTCTATATTTATTCGACGATGAGTCTTGCAAACGAGGATGAGCAGCCTTCCGACCATAGAACCTGACACACTTGGAGCACTCACATGACACCACAAAGTCAACAGATCCTTTTCCCTTTTGGGTAAACATACCTTTCGCACGGACTCATCATACAGTGTCCCAAATCATGACTCTCATATTAATTGCAGCCGATCAAGAAAACGAGGAGCTGATCATGGTCAACCCAATCAACGTGAATGTTCACGAGACATGGGTTCAGATTGGATCAGACGCGTTGTGATCAGACCACGAAATCAGCCACACCAACTCCAAAGAAAAATAAAAGCTCCGTTCTCGAGGTTGTAGGCCGTGTCGTGTTAATATTTGTTGCCGTCGTCGTCGTCGTCGTCCATGAAGCTATTCTACTGTTTATACTTGATGCTTCCTGTTTGACGGGGTAATAGCAAAGAATGAAAATAAACTCTATGTTCATGAAATAAATTTATATATTAAAAATATTTCGCATCATTTGCACTAATATAAATCTTATTGGGGTATAATTCACCTGATTAATATATGTAGCGTAGGTGACCGAATTTGTGGGATTAGGCAGCATCCTTGGATTAGCCGGAAATTAATTGGTGCTCGGCTGCATCGCCTGGTCCATGGTAGTGAGGTCCGCGTGAGGAATCCACCTTGTTGAGTGGAAATGTCAGGTAGGCATGGTGGGGGCGACCATGTCGAACGTTCCGTTCCATCAACCAACAAAACTCAAGCGTGCTGGTATTCTTAAACGTGCTTCGTTTCTGTTCAATGGCAAATGAGTATATGGACGTCTACTCAGCACGTGATGTGTCCAAAGTAACAAAAAAAATTAAAAATTTGACGGAGACTATCCATTAGCCGTCTGATGTTGTTGATAATGATTGAAGAGTAGAATGTTAGAGATGGTTAGAAGTTATCTTATCATAAAATATTTTATTTTTATAATTAGTTAAAAAATTATATTCGAACATAATGAAAGGGGATCATTTTTTACCATTTGCACATATTTATATAGCTCGAGTTACTAACTTAGGTGTCGAGAAATCGGGTTGAAAAACTTCTCCTAATATCAGGTTTCATAGGAGTAATACCTCGAGAGCCCAATATTTTCATCCTGAAGGTACCTCGAAAAACCCTACACATATATGTTCGAATCACATTGAACCGATTAGGATGTTAACGACTTCTTCCTCCAATATTTTTAACACTAGAAGGAAGATCCGATGTCGTAGGAATGCCCATCTGTCGACCCTCTCAATGAATGCTCGACCGATGAAGCTTTACCCTCGGCCTATAATACTTTCACACAATGCGAGCAATAACTACCTTTTCCACACATGGACACATGTATATCGACACAAACGGCAATACAATACTGATATCTATTTAATGATCCAAGTCTCTCACCCCCAAGGGCAACCCCAAGCCACTTGCTCGTCCTTGTCGATGTGTTCTTATATCTCACTAAGCAAGTATAGTCACTAACAGTCATGATACATGTCGTCACTCGACGTTTTCCCCAATTAGCCCAATAAATGATGCCACTAGCTTAACAGTGATCACCAACTCAATCGCTGTCGGCATCGACACCTGTTGAGATTCCCCCACTCGACATGCTACTGATATCCCAAGAGCACCTGAGACTTATCCAACCGTCAACTAAGGGGGCACTTCGATCCTCAACTATGGAATTCAACAGATCGCATGACCTTTTTACCCTATCTGAATATGAGATCTAACTGGAAAATTCGATGGAAGATTTTTTATGGATCCAACTACAATTGATGGATCAATGTTTAAAGGAAATACGATGAGAGTTTCAACAATCCAAAAGAGAAGTATTGTTCGACCCCACCTCAGAACAATCACCATTTACTCATAAAATTCAGGTGGAACTAATTATAGTGAACTTTCATCTCCTATCGTAGCTTTTTATGCTCAAATATTATTATATGGTACTTCAGACATCCTGATGTGTTGTACCTTCCTGACTGTTAAGAGGCGTAGCACGAGAATGATACATTTGCTTGAAGCTACTTTCCATCAGTTTTTTTGTCTAGCTCGTGAGGTAGTTCAAACTTCACTTTCTTGGAATCATGCGCTTGAGACCATTAACGACAACGCTTCTCGGACTCAAGCAAGGGGAGGAGAAAACGCTTATAGAATCTATCGCTCGGTTCATAAATGAAATCCTATGCATAATAGATATCTATCTGTCGCTTATGATATAGACCTTCATGATAGGGCTTAAGCTCTTTCACCTTTTTTAGTTGTTGATAGAGAGATCATCGATGACTATACTAGAGATACTTCAGAGAGTAAAATAATATACTATCGTCGAGGCAATAATTTCGAGTAAGCATAAAGAGTCACACAAGAGATTGAAGTAGGAGTAGCCACAATCTATCCCAACCTTGAGGTCATCATGGCAAAGGAGAAATAAACGACCTAAGTTACTTCACTAAAGGTCCAAGTTAACCCTCTTGAATATAACTATAACTAAAGTTTCTCTACAGATAAAAGAGAATGAGCTGACCCTCACCTAATGAAGACTTCATTGGCAAAAAAAAAAAAAAATCCAAATATAACTTCCACTAAAATTACGACCATGACATAAAGGATTGTTACGACTTGAAAAAGTAGCTTGAAGAACTCATATATTGGGGACATCATAGGTGGTTCATCCAAAAGTACCAGAAGCCCTCATCCTGACCTCAAGGGTTGGTGGAAAGACAGATTGATGTCATCATTGATAGACTCACCTTAGGGGGAGACAACTCCCTAGGTCATAAAGTTTATGCCCAAGCTATCATAAAAAAGTGCCCGAGAATGGAGGGTGACCTAAAGATAACCTTTAAGGAAGAAGAGATGAAATACCTTGATTTGAACTATAATGATGCATTAATAGTTTCTATAAGGATGATCAATACTCATGTGAAAAGGGTCATGATTGACACATATAACTCTACCGATATTATCTACTTTAATACTTTCTAAAAACTCTGACTTTCAACTAATGATCTTACCCCTACAACTTCTTTGCTGATAGGGTTCACCAACGATTCTATCTAGCATCTTAGGAATATGAATATGTATGTCACATTCGAAGATGGGCCTTGCTCCAAAATGATATTGTTTAAATTTATAATGGTGGATATTCCCTCGGCATACAAAGCTATCATAGGTCGAACAACACTAAACAGACAAAGGGTGGTGGTGTCAACCTATTACATTGTGATGAAGTTTCTGACGAGAATTAAAATCGGAGAGCTAAGAAATAACCTAAAAGAGTCATGCTAGTGCTACCTAATATTGATTTTCATACTGAAGAAAGCATAACCCAAGACGCCACCTATGGACCCCCGAAACTTTGGAACATCCCACATCCTGAGCTGATGGATCTACTGATTGAAGCACCCTTAGATAAGGCATGACTTGATCAAGTAATCAAGGTTGGGGTGATACTTCCCAAAGAGAGATAAGTGTGGTTATTGGAGATAGTTAAATGTTGTTTCATCATAGAATATTTCATAAAATATTCTATCACATATTGGATGACGATTAGGTGACGATGTATTCTCTATTATTTGTTCTCCCTAAAATCTCATATTCAATACAATGAAAGGGGGGAATCATCTTTTGATCAACTCACATAACTCCGGTTACTAGCTTGGGCTGCAAAGGGATCGAATTGAGAAACCAGGGCTAACCACGGTCTTCGTGCAGGAGACATCTCGAGAGCTCGATGATTTCACTCGAAAGATATATCATATAATCCTACACAAACGAGGCTATATATATATATATATATATATATAT